CTTTAACTTTTCCTATATTCAATGACATCCAGGCTAACCCAGACAGTACTATTAAGCCTGACGTAGCGGTTTTAAGTCCGTTGCTGCTATCAGTCAATGAGACCTGAAGGGTGCACAGTTTCGAGAGGGCAGTTTACAGTTGAAGATAAGCGGCGTTTTCCGCTGATAACCACTTTAAAAGGAACTTGTTTATAGGTAATGACGTCAAATTACAAGAAGCATATCGCTTTTGGGACATTTCCATTCAAAATCTACCGGCATTAGCCAAAAGCATTTAGTATTCTTTACATAATCGAATGTAATAAAAGAAGAAGGATCGTGGGACAATCGAGATGTACTCGTGACTTTTTAAGTCGGTTACACCAACCCGTCGTCAGACAAAATGAACAGCGGTGAGAGGAATAATCCCACTAAAGATCAGAGGGGACATCGAGGTTGCCTCGCGAGAACTGACGTCCATGTGGGGGGGGTGAATGGCCTGTTTATATAGGTGCCGGAACCCCTGTTTGGCGCGTTCGCGAACGCTTTTGAGTTTGATCACCTCTTCAGTCGGGATCACCGGTGCCAGCACCAAACAGGCGCAAGAGTTTCTCGAAGCATGACGCTCTAACAACAGCAGCATCAACCGCCATGTCGACCTGGACGCTCACTACGAAGGGTTACGTTCACGGCTCACTGACTTGCGACCACCCTAAGAGATCAGCTGCTAGTCCGTGTTCGGCCATGAAGAATACCACGGATTCCGCACCTCCCCGACAGATGGAATCGTAACTGAAGCCCGCAACACCTCCTCCTTACTTCTGGAACCTATCCAAATACGCTATTCACCCCCGCACATGGACGTCAGTGTTGCCTACGTAACCTTAATGTCCCCCCTGCTCTTTACTGCGATTATCCCTCTCCCAACTCTCCATTTCGTCTGACGACGCATTGGTGTAACCGACTTGAAAATTCCCGAGTATGTCTCGATTTCCCGACGAGACTTCTCCCTTTATTATATCATCCCCGAATGCATACTACCTCCGTTATTCATAATCGAATGTGACTGAGTGCGGTCTTAATGCTAAACTCCATGACGCGCCTTGTGTAGGCGTACTGTCTCGCGTCCAATTATGATTGATTACCCTATAGTACGCAGCACGCTCAAGGCGAGTTAGACGTTTTGACAGAAAATACGCCCCCACAAATTGTTCCTGCATTTTTTGAAAAAGTATGTAAGCATTGAGCACAGTGCTAAAAGCGCTGTTGATAGTGGCTTCTTCACTAACATTCGAACGCACAAAAAGTATGTGGTCAGGAGAGGAAAATAAACGCCCACGTTGTCTTCAAAAGCTGGTTTGAGTGCTTTGGCAAGAACACCACCATTTTCATCGATAATCGATTGGACAGCAACATCGTCGTGAAATATACCTGTATTTACAGTAGGTGAGCCAACTCATGAACTCTCAGCAGAGATTTCGAAATACGTTTTCGTTTCGAAAAGATTAATTAAGTAGGGTTGTAAAGCCAATCATCGTGCAGCATAATCTTCTAATAATTCAGTTACCTGAGGATGTCGGCTTTCAAACGAACTTCTTTCCGGCTGAATGCAAAACTACACTCTGAAAAAAATGACTACATAAGTAGCAGGAATTCTTCTCAATGAAGTTCAATGCCCCCAAAAGTCCAATAATATTTCATGGAAAACATTGATAAAAGTATTCTTTTGCTCATTAGGTAAAAAATTACGTCCTCTTTTAATTTTATACTCGAATGAGGGATATTATTGGTTTTAAAAAAGTTTCCAATTGTGAGACTTTTAAATACCATGAAATAGCCGTTCATAAATCGTCACGTCTCTGCATTTACCAACGTGGCATGTAAAGCCAAAAATGTGGCTTAAATTCACTGCTTAATTTTATGAAACCCATATGGTCTCCTCTTAATACCGCAGAGAAATGCATTGTTTTCCGTACGAGGAAATTATACGGCTTGTGGTTTGGGAACCCTGAATGCATGTGTAATGGCAGGTCGGGTCCAAAATTATTCGAGAAATGGAAAAGTTGTATAAAACCGAATTATGCCCTTCCTTCGAGTGTAAAATTGGAAAACGACGTATATTCATATGCATTATTTCTACGAAATATAATGGAATATTTAAAGGCACCGAAAATCAATGGAAAAAGTGCATGCTTATTAAGTAGTCATTTTTTACGGAGTATGATTTGTAGATGCAGCCGGAAAGACGTTTGTTCGAAAGCCAGCGGCCGGTGGTAACTGAATAATTATAGAATTATACAGTGCGCTGAGTAGTTTTACAACCCTACTTAATTAATCTTTTCGAAACGAAAACGCATTTCGAAATTTCTGTTGAGATTTCATGAGTTAGCCCACCTACTCTATATATGCCAAACAAATAGTACAAAAATCTTGGGATGTAAAACGCTTATATGCCATCCTAATTACCAGTATCTTTGCATGCTACGCATACGTTCTACCGAATGAATTTACTGCGGCGAAAAAACGGACTTCTGTAGTCAACAGGAGTCACCCCATTGGCACTACAGTTACATATGTTTCACACTCGAACATGAACATGCTATGACATTTTGCATTTAGAAATCCTGCTGTTTCTTACCGAGCGGGTGTAGGAAGTGCGCTTTTTTGCGTGAACTCCTCTCATCCAACTGTGATAAAGGATCTCGTTAGGTCTAACCATCAGGCTGCTAGTCGCAATCCGGTTCTGCTCGTAGGACGTTTCTGAAAGCGTTACTGCTTTTTACGTGGGATCTATGCATAGACAGATGAATTACTGTTGGTGTCGGCAGTCCATTTCTTGTTTTGCAAGAACTATCCACTCACAGCAGAGAGCAAAACGAAATGTCCTAGTTACATTCTAGAAGAGAAACACGCTCTCACTATCTTTAGTATATGTCAGCCTTTTCAGTCTTTCCGAAAATCCTTCATAATAAACCCTTTCGGAATTGGCCCGAAGCACGTGTCTGAGCTTTTAGCCAATGACTATTCTGTCAATCTACTGTCTCATGTAGTACCTTTGATAGTTCTGAATGCAGTAAACAGGTTACCAGATAGTGCCAACGGCATAAAGCGGCCTGCCCCGCTGCTCTTTGGTCAGCTAGAGAATCAGATCCACGCCATCTAAAGCCAAATACTGTAGAACAAGTGCTCATCGAGTTATCTGGCCAAAGCGTCTCCATTAAAACACCTTCTCTCCAGTCTGCTAGCTGGTTTTGTCAGTTTGTGGATCAGACCTTCAGATGCCCAACTCATTTCACCTGTAGCAGGTTGGTTGGTCAGGAAAGAAGTAAGTATATGCGTGGGGTAAGAAAAACTATGGAGAACCACCTACTGCACTTTTAAAAGTTGTTGTTCTGCAGACATTTTGGTCGGCCCTTCGTCGGCAGGATGACATTTGCTGGCCTGTACCGCCTCGAGGAGCTGGTATTGCTGAAATTCAAAGGTGTTATGGCAGATTTCAAATAATTCATTTTGACCCAACTATGAAAACCTCAGTGTCTCAATGTTATCCGAACCCACGACAGCAAGGGGAAGGTTTTATTACGGCCAACGGCCAACGCTCTAGCCACCTGAGCTACAAGGCCTCACCCGACGACGCGATTTTGATTACATTTGGGTCGGGTTTACCCGCTCAAGCCAATGTAATTAAACTCTTGTCGTCCGGTGGGACCTCGTAGCTCAGGTGGATAGAACGTTGGCTGTACTAACACCTTCCCCTTGCTGTCGTGGTTTCGAATCCCACTGACGCACCGAGTTTTTCCCAGTTGGTTCAAAAGGAATTATTGCTCAGATGTCTACATTGGTTCATTGTCTTGCACACTTCACACATATTTATTTACTAGGAGGGAAGGTCAATTTAAAAAAAAGTTGGCGCGATGTGTAGTTAGGTAGTAAAAATACTCAAAACAATAATGTATGGAATTCATACGTCTGGCAGCAAAGCAGGAGTGTTAAAATGCTGGTGAATTTGTTAGACAACAGCTGGCATTTTCTTACCCCGCGCATATACTTAGTCCTCGCCGCTGCTCATATCGAAGATCACACTAGTCTTTCAGGCGCTTTTTTGTAAAAGATCACCCGGACATGACCACTGTCGTCGCACTCATGTTTATCATTATACCACTAATGCTAAATTTTCTCGACTCAATCAGGTTACAGAGAGAAAGCGACTTAATTGAAGGCGTGACCGAATTCCAAATCGCCCACGGTATCAGGGGTTTCCTGGGGGCAGCGCTTAATTACCTGGTTCACTCGCCGCTGAAAGTCACTGGCTGGTGCCACGTATAACCAGTACTGATGTGCTCATTATCCGTGACTATCTAAAACCCCTCCATGTATTATGCACCGAACGACTGCAAGTGGCATTTGTTGAACTGTGTCACACGCTGAAATTGAGCAAGGTGAAACGCAAACATGTTGAAGGCAGTTGAAACACGTATACAATCAAATCCCCATATATATCCTCTGTATTCTAAATGGCGCGTATTTTGGTCTCAAAAACGTCTGAGCAGTATGTAAGTGCTGTCTTCTCAGTTACCTCTAAACAAACCTTTTCTCCGTACCTACCCAGAAACGAAAACCCTTTACTTAAAAAATTATTATTCATATAGAATAAGTTGATAGATTACAGAATTTTTGATATTGATGTTCTAGCCCGAATTCTTTCCGCGTGTCATTATGTACAGAACAGGGGAAGGCAGCGAAGGATGGGATATTTGGCAAACTCCTAGCACGGAAGATTAATAACCGCGCGATAGAACCCACCGGAATTGCAGTGCGGCCATAGTCTATCGCCGAGTTAAGGAAGCCGGCTCCTATTTCTCCGGTCCTGTTTACTGAGGTCACAAATCCAGTCGGGTAATTTGGGAGGAGGCCTGGGAAGACAGTAGCTATGGCTGGACTCTTGCGTTGATGGAGGTTAGCCTTTTCTCTCTGACAGCTATAGAATGCTGTCGAATTGGGACAGGGGGTCTCCTGCACAATTACTTCTCCACTCGAAGCCTGGCTATGACAGTAGCAGTGATTTCGCTGATGAAGCTTGCATCCTTCAATGAAGTAGGCTGGCTCTACATGGCGAAATGGAAAGTGTTGGAGGTAATGAGACGTACTGCTACATTTGGTCTGGGCGGTAGTATCTTCACCTAAAACTTTATCCAGTGTTTTATAGGACACTTCTCCCAGATCACGTCCATTAGTGGGGCACAGATTCCTCATCCACGTGGACTCGGCCTCTCGCAGGGCGGGAGAGGATTCACCGGTGATTCCAAACAACAAGTTCTCCTGTGACAAACGCCTTGTCGGTCTGTTTTTCTGTTCGCAATTTCGACTCACCCAGGGTGAGTACTCATCAGCGTCCATGTTGGTGAATTCGGAGAAGGAAAGACTGAAGGTCACTCGCTCCTCCTCCATGGTTTTTGTCCGCGCAACCTTCGTTTCCAACTCCGCACTCCGTCTCCTTCTAGATCCAACCCTGTGTATTCGGCCCTGCCTACCCAGGCATTTGAACATTCGTTGAACAGACCTGCCTGCGCGGGATAGGAGGGACGTTGAGGGTTCTTCGGACTGGAGGAATGCTCTGGAGTTCTCGCGGTAGACCGGAGGGGAGTTCTGCAGGAATTTTCGCAGCCTTTCTGGACCTCTGTGCTGCTGCAGTTTCGCTTCGTCGCCTGCCTGAATTATGTGTCCCGTCATACCAATGACTGAGTGTATGACATCACCGTGAAGACGACGAAACTCCTGTGCCTGTGCCGCGGCCTCCTGTTCATCACGTCGCTGGTCGTCAGTGTTCATCGTCAAGAAACGCAGAACTAGGAGGTTCATCGCAGAGCTGACCACGGTTAGGCCGAAGAGAATGAAGATGAGGCTGAAGGCCACGTAGTCCGGTTGCTTCACCAGGGAGTCCTCACGCTGCATGGCCACGAAGTCGCCGAAGCCGATCGTAGTCAGGGTGATGAAGCAGTAGTAGAAGGCATCCAGGTAGTGCCATCGCTCGTACTGGGCAAACACTGCCGCACCAACGGTCAACACGATGGTTCCAATGTTGGCACTAAAGAGAATCAGATGGGTCTGGGAGACGAGCTTATTTTGGCACTTGAACAGCGACTTTAGACGTCGGAGCAGGCAGGTTACGAGGGTGTTCATACGCTCGCCGATGCTCTGAAACATGACGATGCAGAGGGGTATTCCAGGAAGGGCATAGAGCATGCAGAATATCTTGCCACCAACCGTCTTCGGCGTGCAGTGACCGTAACCTAGTGCAAAGTAGACATGGCTGGAGTTAGAATTTTAACATTTTCAGAACTGATTCTGCTTATTCGATTTTGTACTGCAAGCGCAATTAGATGTTAAGTTAATTGATGTGAGATTGACGGAAGAAAAAGGCTTGTGCTTGAATCTCATAATTAATCCTAGCTCCCATAAAGCCTCATGTGATGGCATTAATGTATTTTTGAAGCTATTCTCTGATCAACTTCTAATAATGGATTAAATACTTGACCTTGAGTCACAGGCCATGCGCAACGTCTCATGGGGTACCATCCCTTCGCAACAATTACTCACGCCTGAGTCATGAGTTTAACTAATCAACTCCGAAAAAACCGATGTTTCGGATCAAAAACGATATTCGTCCGAATAAGAATGAAACTCTGCCAGAAAAAAGAAGGAAAAGAAAAAAGAAAAGAAAAAATGTCTCCATAACGACGAGTTCAGTTGTTCAACTTCTTTCGTTGTTAATCAACTTTCGTACGGACAGCAATATAATTTGTTTAATTGATCGTGATAGAATTATGTGCTAGGTACAATTTGTACCGCTACAATCATATCTTTCTCTGTGGTTCGTACTTTTAACTGTCTCTCGCTTTTTTGAAATAATTCCAAATTAGTAGGGTAGATGTGTTAACTCATGAAATGTCAACCAAAACTTCAAAATGCGTTCTCGTTTCGAAAAGATAAATTAAGTAGTGTTGTAAAACTGATCATGAAGCAGCACAAATCTATAATGATCCAGTTACCTCAGGGTGTCGGCTTTCGAAGGAACCTATTTTCGGCTGCATGCAAGATCCATACTCTGCAACAATGACTACTTAAATGGTATGCAATTTTCTCATTGATTTTCGATGCCCTTAAAAATGCAACTATATTTCATGGAAAACATGCAAAAAATATTCATCTTTTTACTTATTCGGTAGAATATCACGTCTTTTTCCAATTTCATCCCCAAAAGAAGAGCATAAATCAGTTTTAAAAAACTTTTCTAGTTCCCGAATAATTTTAAACCCGACCTGCTGTTACACTTGCATTCAGGGTTTCAAAACCACAAGCTGTATATTTTCCGTGTAGGGAAAGCCATGCATTTCTCTACGGTGTTAAGAGGAGACCATATGAGGTTCATAAAATTAAGCAGTGAATTTGAGCAATATTGTTAACTTTACAAGCCACATTCGTAAATACAGATACATGACGTTTCATGAACAACCATTTAACGGTATTAAAAAATCTCACAATTAGAAACCTTTTCACGACCGAATTATACTCTTATTTTGGGTATGAAATTGGAAGAAGACGTAATTTTCTACCGAATAAGCAAAAGGATGAATATTTTTCTGCATGTTTTCCATGAAATATAATTGCATTTTTAAGGGCATCGAAAATCAATCAGAAAATTGCATACTATTTAAGTAGTCATTTTTGCAGAGTATAGATAATGCATGCAGCCGAAAATAAGTTTGTTCGATGGCCGACACGCTGAGGTAACTGGATCATTATAAATTTACGCTGCTTCATAATTAGTTTTACAACACTACTTAATTTAGCTTTTCGAAACGAGAACACATTTCGAACTTTTGGTTGACATTTCATGAGTTAGCAAATCTGCTGCACCTTTTTGCTCAAACGGGATTTTTACCACAACTAAAGGTTATTCCAAAATATAAGAGCCGACACTGTAAGTACTGAACGGCACGTGAACGAACACTTCTTCCTTGCTTCTGTTGCTATAACTACCACGTCTCCAGAGAACACGATGTTCCTTCTCAACAAACAACCTTAAAATGCAGCAATTTTAGTCCTTAAATAGCTGACTCTGGACAATCAAAAAGTATGCGCATGGTTTATGCCAGAACAGGGGTGTCAGAGTTAACTTAAATCTTTTGGCGGAACGCCGCATTACTGAAACATGGCTCAGCGTTTCACTTTTGATACCAATAAACTTTTCATAATTACGCATCTCTTATCCCCAACAATAGGCTCACTTATATGTCTGTGTTCAAAATTTATCGGCCCTTGTTTATGCAACCTGTGTGTACATCGCTCACCATAATATGAGTCGAAGCATACCTAGAGAGGGGAACCTGTCGATTTGAAATTCCAGACACTGCTTTCTAATTCGTCGTTTTGGGATTGGCAGCAGCGGAAACTTTCTTCTAACTTATGGCAAGGCGCGCGACAGAACAATTTTTCTACTTAAGAAAACTATACCATTCAAAATATAATGACTAGCAAGAATTCTGACTCGCCTTGGATTGCAACTTGTTCATACAATTGCCTCTATTTAGCAATTTAGTAGGTTCAGCCATTCAGTGAACATACATCATCTGATAAACCACGTGAAGTATTAACGGAAATTCTAAAATGGCGTTACTTTCAGAAAAACCACCTAGGCGGATTTGCAATACTGATTCCAAGATATTTCAGTGATGTTCGGATGCAGAATTTGAGTGAGTTACTTACTGGTAGCCCGCAAAAGCCACACCCTGTAATAAATGACAAGTTTGATAGCATGTTGCTCTTCCATTTATTTTCAATGTCTCTTTAAATTCGGATATATCCTATGGAAACCATGCATAAAAATATTCCTTTTTGTACTCGTTGGTTGGAGATGATGTCGTTGTCTACGTATTTGCTTAAAAAAGGACATTTACCAGTTCTAAAATATTCGCAACTTTAAGAGTTTAGGGCCGAAAGATGGCCGTTCGAATGGCATCCTATCTGCTCATTTATTAATGTTCCTTATAAAGCATGCAAAACGAGCCACATACTTTGTAAGATTTTGTAAAAGGTCTATGGTATATAAGTGAATATGCGAGTTCCACGAACTAGTTGATAAGAGTTAGAAGCAATCGCTGGAAGAGGAGATTTATTCGCCTGGCGTCTCATGTCCGAATCAGCAGTCAGCGAACACCACGGTCTGTTGGTCAACACAATTCCTGAATAAGCTTAATGAGGTCATGGTGGCTTTTGATGTCACGTCACTCTTTGCTTCTATCCCCCAGGATCTGTCAATCCCTCCCTCCAAACAAATACGAAATAATGGACAATCGCTTCGGACATGCCAATGTCCTGCGGCTCCTGCAGTTCTGTCTCAGAACATAATTCACGTTCGGCGGAACAATCTACGAGCAGGTGAAGGGAGCACCAATGTGTTCGCCGATTTCGGGATTCGCAGCCGAGGCGGTCCTACAGCGGTTAAAGTCGCTGATCTTCTAACACCACCGACCAAATCAATGGGCTTAGTACTTGCACGATACCTTCGTCGTCATCGAACGGGATCAGGTGTTGACATTCCAAGAACATCTCAACGCCGTCTTCCCGGACATTCAATTTACGATGGAGGAAGAAGAAAATAATCAGCTGGTCTCCTCTGATGTTTTCGTCTGTCTCAAAGATTGTGGTGGCCTAAAAGTGTTCAGAAAAGCGACAAATATGACGCAAAAACCAAACTTCAACAGTAACGACCTAATCAGCCATAAACGCAGCTGCGTAAGGACGCTGTATCGGCGCGCTCAGACGCACTGCGTTGAACCGGGAGACAAGTTTGTCGAATTTTAATATCTGTGACGGGTTTCAGAGACAATGGTTACCCGGGAAACTTTTTCAACCGGTGCATGTGCAAACGAGACGAGCAACAAAATCGTACCAACCCCGAATTCTGGCGAGTGATTCCGTACATCGAGGACGTCTGCACGACTGTTAGTCGATTTCTCGCACCACATGAATCTGGATTTTCACACAGACCGGAGACAACCATAGGGTGTTAGATGATGAGACCAAAATATTCGCTGTCACGGCAAGAAACGTCTTGAGTCGTTTATAGGATGTGGTGCAATTCCGGGCAAAGCGGATATGTCGGAGAAACTGGAAGACTGGTCCGGACGCGAATCAGCGAGCACGCGGCATCAGGGCGAAGAAATGACTTCAACTCTCAAGTCGCGACCTATTCAACGAGACCCGGCCACACATTTACGTCCGAGAAAGCTGAAGTTCTCGAGAGAGGGGAATAATCGTGTGAGTCGCGAGTTGCTTGAGTCATGTTTTACGGGACCCCAGTCTATCAACAAGTGCAACGACATCTCCACCCCATATTCGGTGCTAAGGCATAGTCTGGCCAAAGTAATTAGCTACACGGGGAACACGCAGGTCAGTGAACCAGACGGCCGGCCAATCATCACGCCAACCTCCAACACGGGTGATGAAATTTCAGCAGTTAACAATTTGCACGCCGGCCATCCAGCAATAAGCGCACCAGCAGACAACAATCGTCGATGAAGAGGAGAGCGGTTAACTACCCTATGCATGTAGTAGGCTAGCGACTGCGTCCTATGAATACTGCACCTAACTTCCCGTGCACGAATTATCCGTATTTGTTACTGTCTCTAGTGATGGGTTTGAGCAAGAATCCGAAACGTCAGGCGGATAAAGTTTTTGTTGCTTCCCACCAGTTCTACGGTCTCTTCTTTACAATATACATGAATACATAGTTTTTTTTATTTTGAAAGTATACTGCACGTAGTTTGGAAACGTAAATGTAAGAGCAGGTTAGACTCGAATTCGGCACCCCGGCCGGACTCGAATATTATTACTGTCAATTATTATGATATTATTTGCAGCAATGAGGTTTGATTCGTGGACCTCATTCTCATTCTGTCTCAAACAGCTGCATTTGTAGTCGCCCCGGATTTGGCCGGTACGATCTCTGTCTCACTGATTAGCTGTACACGGACTCAAGCACTAAGTTCCAGTGCTATGCGAATTGGCCTTGACGGCATGCAAGCCAAAAGCAACCATTCGACCAGCCTGACCATTGTAGGTCGTACTTCCTGGTCGCTGTTGTGACCTTCTTCGTCTAGGTAAATTCAACCCACTAAGCATTTCACGCGCTCGCGTATGTATGCTATTCACGCGACATAAGAGACATTACAGTTATTTCCTTTCAACAGTCACAACTGAGCGAGCCACGCCCATATTCAATCGATCACAGGCCTTGTTCGTACTTCGATCATATAAATACGTGTGCGTGCTGAGCCTTCTCGAAAATAAAAACCTTCTCTGCCAATATGACATGTCATGTGTCTGAATGGCAGAAATTCTAGCTCCTACCTAGTCGTGTGGGTGTTGGCTAAAGCATTTAGTTCACAATAATCTATGCTGATAACTTCGGACACAAAACACTGTCGGCCAACTCTTTATGAAATGATATTTATTTTATGAAAAGAACATAATGAAACACTCTTGCGATTCTGGTGGAATGGGAGGGAAGAGCATTCCTCATCAAAAGTCACAGCCCTTTTCAAAAAAGCTTATAATATTGTTGCTGCAAGGCACACGGTAAACAGCATTCTGCAGAGCATATTATTTAAATTTCTGTTTTAGAGGAAATCAAGCAAAGAACACAATCTAAGTTCTGATATTTGGCCATTTAAAAACTGTCTTTTGAAACAGGTCGTGTGTCTTGGTCAAGTACAGTCCACCCGGAGTGAGAAGTGTAAAATCATTGCCTAGATGTACCCAACCGCTTAGGAAATCCGAAAAGATAATGAATGAAATGGCAAAAAGGAAACGACTTGAGTGAGAAGACAGTATAACATTACTGATGAACAAAAGGGAGACAAAAGTAGTAATTACTGAATTGCTAGCCGTCATCAGCAGATTCAGCAAATCCTTGAGGCTTGATTCTAACTTCTGCTGGCTAGGAGTCCAATTCCTTAATTATTTGGCCACGGCGTCGTTGACCTGTCAGCTGAGATCGAGCATATTCTGCGTATATTCCGCTCATACTACTAGTTGCTAAGCGGCAGCTGGTAGGGCTTGAGATTGGATCTCAAAACACAAAGGGGGAAGTGTGTCCTGTAATGCAATCGATGTGCACCCAGTAGGCTTACGGCAAGAACCCTGTTTACTGTCTGACAAATATGTTGTGATCGTGGATATTTAAGATCGATGCTACTAAACAGAATGATTAAGTTTTCATGGATATGCATGTGTCAATACTATACTGAGCTCCATTCACACGCCAAAACTGGTTTCATTATCGTGGAGACTGAAAAAGATGCCAAGTGCCGCAAAGGTACAATTATGAAATGCTGCATTCTCCTGCACTTCCTATTCCATTTCTTATAAAAGTGCAAATATATGCTTTCTCGTAAAAACTTAGTGGAGTACATAGTGAGTTTGTTTTACTGCACTCCACTCTTCGAAATACTTATCCGTCTCTAGTTAAAAGTGAAGGTGTTGTCTACATAAATAGAAAAACCTTTAAGTTCCAACGCTTTGGGTATAAAATTTGTATTAGGAATGTATAACTCTGTTTTCCGAGGCCCCACCTCAGATCTCTCGGAAGTGCACCTTTACCGGCCAAGGTCAACATCAAAAACGGTTCATGTCCTTACACTGACAACGTTTTGCAATGCACGTTCCCTTATTCTGCACTGTTTGAACAAGACTTTAGATTCTAATAAGTCAAATTTTCGTCTAGATCGCAGTTGGTAGCCAGGAATGGGGAAGCGGACGGCGACCTTAACCCTAATCCTGACCTTAACCCTAACCCTAACCTCAACCTTAAATGTTAACCGTCAAGCCTAACGGCAACCCTGACCCTAACCGAAATCGTAAACGTAACTGTAGCTCTTACACATACCTGTACTTGAAAAACCTAACCGTAATAATGAAACCTAATCGTGCGCTCAAACCTTAACCGTAAACCGAAAACCTAAGTCTGAAGGCATAACCCTAAGCCGAAAATCGGAAACCATTAACCGGTACCCTAACCCTACCCTCGAACGTAAAACGGAAGACAAATAGGTCAGATGTGATTATGGAATCCAACAAAATAGCCCCAGTAAACCACCCCCTCCGCCACTTGTAATACGGGGCCTGGCTACCAACTGCGATCTAGTCAAATGTTCTGCCGCAATATCGTAAACCACAGTGGATCTTGAAGTAATGACTAATCTGTCATAGCGAACGAGAGAAGACAGATGCAAAACAATGAAGAATAGTCGTTCGAAGCTTCTTCTCATCTCTATTAGTGGCTTTGCTTTTTCGTCCGAATATGACAGTAGTCGGCTTGAATGATATTACCGACAAAGATAAGGGCGACTAGAATGGCCACTTCTATCTTAATATCTGTCGTCAGCCAGTCGTACCCAGCCCCGGGTTCTGTAGTAATAACCTTGAGAATGATAAAATTGTAGAGCCAAGTATAAGTCGAGAGTAGTTTGCGAGAAGCTTTGAAAAGTGCGGCTTTATATGCCATTTTCGTTTTTTAACATAATACATTTTCAATTTTATCGAACTCATTGATTTAAGGAGCCTTTTCAGCACTTTAAAGTCATCCTCCTACCCGAATAGTGCCTACTAAGCGGCCTTTTTGCTAACAAGCGGTATGCGCTACTGATGGCTATAAAGAGCTTCTGAAGATGATATCATAAACTAGCATTATGTCAAGATTTTAAGAACTTTTTCATCCTGTTGGCCTAGTCATTGTCTTTACAATAAACCCAAAACTTCTATGTGTAACTAATGACTCCACGCTTAACAAAGGAAGAAGGCGGAAAAGAGACTGTTCCCATTCGATCTGCCGTCCTCAGGCAACCATAGAGGGCATGAATTAAAAGCAGACTGTTAGTATTCCACCAGTGACGTAGGACGTACCAATTGTCGTGATAACAGTTGTTGCGAAGTAGAAGGCACCGGCGAACTTCCACTGGGTTCCCGCCTTGTAGGGTTTAAGCTGTATTCCAAGCTGAGTTATCTTTTCAAAATCCTCCCTTGTGATGTTGTATTTGTCCCGCCAGGCTCTTTCCTGCTCCTGCAGACGTTTCCGTTCATGGCCCTCCATTTCCGACTCCAGGGCGTCGAAGATGGCTGCTCCCAGAAGGAGATACGTAAAGGTGCACACAATGAGGGCTAATGTGCGCACGTTTTGACGCTTCATTGGTCCGTTGACTGCTGTATTTTAGCGCCGTTTTGGAAGCCTTTGTTTGAAGTATGCTTTCCGTGGAGTCGAGAAGTGGCTTCTTTCTCCGCTTTCCGATTAAATATATTCTTCAAATCAAAGTCGCATGGTCATGCTGTAGGCGAGCGCAAAGTTCACACACACGTGTAGGCCGCGCGACAGGCAGACGCGCCAAGAATGACGAACCAAGTCAGCAGCGACGACGTCAGGAAAAACCGGTCACTGCGCGACGCGCTGATTGGGCAGCGAAGGCGGGATTTTTGTTGGACGGCCACCGCGTTTCGCGTCGTCCGCGCGCGCTCATGACCTCGGCTGCGGTCAGAGTGTGCGGATTGTCCAGGGTAAACGGGCCGCCAGTCTTGACATGTTGACTTCCATCCTGATCCTAACCGCCCCACGCACTTTAGGTCTAAAAATGGGCTGTTGTAAATCTTCCAACACTCAATTTGCATGAATTGGAGTCCTGTTTCAAATTCAAAAAATTGCATAGGCAGTTAAATCAAATGGCCGTAAAGAGTGGCGTCAATTTTATCTACTGCACATTGGGCGGCAAGCAGGATTTCTCAGTAAATACTTACAGTATCTGCAATGGATGGGTAGACGAAGGGAAAATAATAAAAAGGGGAGAAGAAGAAGAAGAAGAAGAAGAAGAAGAAGAAGGAAATGAGGTATCAATATTTACTATAAACTAAGCTGTAAACTCTGACACAAAAGTGAGCTGCGACTGAGATAAAGTTATCCCTCCTTGGTCGCAGGGTTGCGTTTCAGAACCCCGGATGAAAATCAAAAATATGTGAAGTAGCAGCATATGGTTTCACGGCTACTTTATACATTCCAGCCTCTCATAAACCCTCTCACATTCCTGTAAACATTTCTTAGACAGTTGTACAGAATAAACCCTTTAAATTATCTTAGGTGTTAAGTAGGATACGTTGAGATTAGGTGAGTAAACTCTATGTTTGTATAATACGTTCAAGCATACGTGCAGATGATCACTGGGGAGTTTTTAGATAGTATGTAAACACAACATAATAATACACATTTTAACACTATTGGAGCCAACAGTGTCCCGTACATGCTCTCAGCGGGCAAACCAATTGAGTAGCTTGTTCTAAAAGATGGGAAGGTCCATTGTCCGTTGAAATACTTGGACCAGCGAAAAGGACTATGATATATACAGTGAGGGACCGATCTCATTAACTGTTAGCCGAAATTCTGAACTGCGTTTCCGATTAGGAAGGATTACTTGAGTGAGCTTCTAATACGGATTTTCTAGTGGCATAATCACATAGTATTTTGGACTCGGAATGATGTCGGTAAAAAACGACAACTTATGTGGCACGCATGTTTCACACTGATTTCCACTGCTCTTGCAAATTCAAATATATTTTATAGAAACCACAAACAAAAATATGTTTCCTTTCAATCTTCATATTTAATGCTCGATAAAGAATTATAATAAGGTTTTAAAAAGTTTTCTAATTCCTGAATAATTTGGAGCCTGACTAGTTGTCGTATTAGCGTTAAATTATTTCAGTCTACAAGGTGAATGCGTTCCGCGCAAGGAAAATCATATACTCTTCTACGACTTTAAGAAGATTTTATATAGAGTCCATAAAATTTTTCAAGGGATGTGGCCATGTTGTACATTTTATGAGGAGCAGTGGTAAACGGAGAGGTGCAAGGCTGTATGAATGGAAATTTCACGGTCTTAAGGGTCTCATAATTAAAAACTTTTTTAAAACCTTCGTCGAACAAAGAATATGAAGATGACGTGATTCCTTATCAAACGAATGTAAAAGTATATTCTGTTCACATTTTCCACAAAAATACTTGAATTTATAAGACCATCGAAAATCAATGTGAAAAATGCACGCTACCTAAGTAGTCATCTTTTGTCGAGTAGGGTTTCTACAGGAGATTGAAAAAAGGGCAATTGAAAGCCGACATCCTGCCGTGTCCGAAATGTCATAGGATTATGCCTCATGTTAATCAATATTAGAATCCCACCTAAGTAATCGTTCCTAATCGGAAACGCATTTCAGAATTTCCATTAACATTTCATAAGATCGGTCACTAACTGTATTTGAACATACTTGCATTTAAAATCCCCGATAGAGCGGAGTCGCGAAAGTCGACGCGCAATACAGCGAGGGACTACTGAACATTTTACCATCTAAGTGATAACTTACGACCTCTTAGGCGCAAGGAAGGCGCATTCCTAAGACATTCTTAGCGTACACACAATGATAGCAATGAGCGTACTTACTCACGTACTTACAAAATCTTGTTCTTAGATATATCGGAAATTTAATACCTCCTTACGCTTAGTACTTCCAGTGAGAGTAACAACAACGCCATTTTGGGAGCAAATTTGGGACACAATTTTGGCTCAAAAGTTGCACAATCCACATACTATTGAGAATGCATTCCAAAGCCAATGTAAAGCATGTACATACATTTTTCTGGACTGGAGTTACCATTTACGGCAAAACGTAAGAGCGAACGCAGCCAGGTGCGAAAATTTTACCGTTAAAACTTTTGAACATGAAACGGAGGTAGTTTATAACGTATTGATCTCTACCACAGGAAAAGTAGCTTGCAACACAACTTTAGAAAGTAGTCTATATTTAAGCAACGCCGCGGACGCTTACATATTTGGCGTCCCTGACCAACCGAGCTCCCAGCCTGCCCTGGCAGCGGGCACGAACATGCGAACAACTACCATATGTTAGCGAAACTAAACCCTCGAGTACATGAATAAAGTGAAGGATGGAACAGCAGCTCCTTCGGACTTATCTACTTCCTTCATCAGTCATCATGGCCTACTGACACTGCATCAGGCCAATGAGCTACACTTTTCCGGTAGGTAATACAGGAACATCTGTTTGCTGACAGAGGAAGGGAAATCTGATGAAAGCAGTCTTCATCAGTTATGACGACTACCCATGTCGTCTTAATGGACTTACGTAGGTTTCAGTGAACAGTAGATGGGTGAGTGAGGTAAATGGACTCAACTGACAGGCAACACCTCCTAAGCCCCTCAAGAAATGGTCGCATTTATGAAGAGAATAGGATACCTTATCACAACGGGGTAGTTTAAAATGAATTTCGCACCATCCGAGCGGAGCAAAGTTTATAAATGCATTAGGATCTGCCACCAAAATTAACAAATGGCAAAGCAACAACATGGAGTGGATTTAATGGCAGCCAGAACTGTTGCTCGAACTGTCGGCAGACATGTAGGGTGTTCAAAGTGCGTTGTTGTGAGTGGATGGAAAAAGGAGGGGAAATTGGCCTCGTTCGAAAAGTATTGTTTCAAAAACTTTCGTAACTAATCCTTCATTTATCGTCGCCAGAATACATATAAATAATTAACGCCAGAATAAATTGACCACGGTAAACTAGGTGTATAACGTTTGGCCATCCCGTGTCTCATATTTCAAGTTCCTCTCTACTTGTGCATCAGGTATTGTGCTATAAATGGCAGTACGGAAGACTGTGGCGATTTATAGCAAGAAACGTTCCAAAAGTCAAAATGCACTTAATTTGAATTGAAGGGGATGAAAAATACCATGCGATATTTGTCCAGCAAATTGCTAAACGATTTTTAAATATCACTATACCATGATATCGACAAATCGACTTCAGAAAAACAGGCCGTTGAATATGGCACCCGATGGATACGCCTCAAAATTATTCTTTTTTAAACAAAACAGAAAAATGACGGGAAAACAGTGTAAAGGGAGAGAAATAAAACAAACACACATGAATTTCCGGATTAAGGACAGAGGGTTGTGGTAAGACTGTAAACGTCGAATGCGCTAAGCAGGTTTGCGAATTTTGTTAAAAAGGACTTCAACATGAAAGGGAGAACTAGAGGTTGGAGGGCAGGGTAACAAAAAGCTGCCGATGTTTTGTTGGGAATAAGATCAAAGGACTATGGAGTAGGAGATGGTCGCAGTCGAAACACACTCTGAACTTAATTTTCGATCATTGAATAGAAGACCGTTTTTCAACGAACATACAGAGGGCATTATTCAAGGCGTTCTTCTGGACCTAGATCAGACATATTTTCGCAGCGGGTCAAGCAACTGCGTTTTCAACGCACGTAACGCAGTCATTGGTCCATCTCATATTCTTAATGTGAAACGAGAAGTGATAAGGGTATACAAAGAATTCCTGAAGCGCTGCACAGTCATTACAAAGAGGAGTAGAATTCCGACTGCTAGACTCAGGAAGAAAATTAATCTGCAAGGGAGGAAAAAATCTAGCTGGCGGAGGCGGATTCAGATGTGTCCCTATAGGGTAGATGGCGCGGAACGTTACCAAAAGCAGAGGTGCAGTCAAGGAATGTCCATGCGTCCGTACGGCGACCCATATCTGGCTGTCTTAGAGCAGAATGATCCACAGGGGCGATAGCGTTTATGCTACCACGCCTAGATATATATACGCAAATCGCAGAAGTAATGGCATAGGGACATATAGGGCAACTCGTTCAGCGAGCTTCAGAAGTATGGATGGGCATGTAACAGAACGGAGGGTTCGGCAACAGCATTCAAATGGCTAACAGTATGTTTCCAGTCGACGCGTTTTACATTATTGGTAAACCTGACGACGCCAACGTATGCGACTGCAAAGAGATCACCACAACGATGGACGCAAAAACTGATAGGGTATTATAATTCGAGTCATATTTTAGGATTAAATTAGGCCTTGATCATAACCACTCGATTAAGCTAACCCCCCCCCTTTCTTTCCAAGCTAGTTTGGTTTTATACCATCGCGTGCGGCTGCATTTGGCGGGTTTCGAAGTCGGGCAGGCAGTGCCATACTACATCGGCTGCTCTGAGCTGCGTTGTTAAAAACAAGTAATAGAAAACGATTCTTTATTATCGCGATGACGCATCTGACGTTGCAAACCAATTTGGCTGTCACTTTTCCTAACATCCCCATCAAAAAACATCGAAATTTTTATC